TGAGTCGGCCCCCTCGGTCTGTCTGTGGGTCAGTCCTGCCTGGCAGCAGAGCTCCAGGGTTGCAGACAGAGCGTCTTCCCCGTCAGCTCCACCCCGACCCCTTTTCCACTGGAGACGTCACCAGAGACTGACCTGGGGAGTTTCTGCACGCAGAGCAGGGGTTCTGCTGCTGATCCACAGCCTTCCCCAAGCCCCCGGTTGACTTTTGCAATGGGGGAAACTACTTGGGGGGGTGGGGTGGACACGATCCCTCTCTCCTGCCAAGGGAAGCCCACCTGGTTCCCTGCAGAGCAGGGAGGGTGGCTGCAGGACAACCGGGCGGGATATCCTCAAGCTCGATATCACGTTTTTAACGCGCTCTTCCTCCGAGAAGCTCAGGCTGGCTCACGTGGTTCTGTGCTTCTGTATCTTATCTCATGGCACCCCAGTGTGAGGGAGGTTACACGCACGCACACGCACACACACACACACCCAGTGATTGTCCCAAGGTCTCCCTGGCCCAACTCTCTAACCACTATATCGTATCCTAATTTAGTTTCCGTTGTGGTGGCGACTGCAGCAAACAGTATTTTCCCGTTCCTGTTGCATCTCCTCCATGTCTCCCAGCAAAGAATGTCCGGGTTGTGTCCATCTTGGCACCCGCATTCTCTTAGAGGGACTCTCGGCCAAGCGCTTTGTGGATAAGGCTGTTCCTGTTTGCTCCAGCGTAGCCATCTCCTTTGCTGCCGCCGTTGGGGCACTGGATAGCTCCAGCGTGTCTGCTTAGCCTGTTTGGAAAGAAGCCTTTCCAGTTGTCCAACCTGGGAATGTAAACAAGATCCTGTGAGAATGGCTGACCACTTTTGCCTTTGACCCTTGCCCTTTCTGGGCCGCTGGATGTCCAAGACTGTTAATGCCTCACTGAGAAAGGAAGCAATCCATACCTGAAGCCCTGGAGGAGGCCCACGTCAGGCTGCCCCTAAAGAAAGCTTTCCCCACACTTGGGGGAGTGGCTGAAGCGTGTGATGGTGACCCAGCACCAGAGCTCCCTGGATGAGAAGATCATCTCGATCCTTTTCAGTCTAGTCTCTGGTTTGGAACTGAAACGGCTTTGATGACTCTGCAACAGGACGTGAACACGGGATGCATCTCTGCTGTTTCTGGACCTCTCTGGATTTGGATCCGATGGTATTCTTCAGGATCACTTAGCTGGGATGGCCATGGCTCCGTGGTAGAGCCTCTGCTGGGTATGCAGAAAATCTAGGTTCAGTTCCCAGCCTTTCCAGCTAAAGGGATCAGGGGGTAGGAAATGTGAAAGACCTCCACTCAAGACCCAGTATGAGCAGACAGTACAAACCTTGATGGACCAACGGTCTGATGAAGTGTAAAGCAGCTTCCTGTGTGTTCATTGACGGTGGTGCCCTAGAGTGGTTTTGATCTTCTCTGAGAGAGGGAAGGCGGCATCAGTAACGAAGCTCTGCCGCACTCTGCCCCACACGGTCTCTGGTTGTTGGGCTCCATCTTGTTCCCTCTGCCCATTAACAGCACTGGGAGGTGTGGGGCCTGGGCGTCTGTAGAAGATGGCACCCAGTGGCTCCACGCTTCCTCTCCGTCTGACCCTGGAGGTGTGTTTGAAGTGCTGATTCAGTTTCTGAGGTCCACGATGAGTTTTGTGGGAGTGAACGCACGGAAACTTAATCCAGATGTGACGGAGGTATGGTTGGGCAGGGAAGCGTCCTGGTCAGAGATTGGATGTTCTGCCTGTTTTGGATGGGGTTGTGCTCCTCCCGAAGACTCCACCTCAAACGTGGGTTAGGGTGTTCCTGGACCCGGCACAGCTTGTGGATGTCCCAGGTGGTGGCATTGGCAAGTGGTGTTTTCGGATGGCTTGCCAGTTGCACCTTTTTCTCAACACAAAGGACCCGACCACAGTCTGATGTGCTGAGCTGCTTTTGGAAAGTGGAAACTGCAGCTGGTTCAGAATGTGGCTGGTAGATTATTGGCAGCCTCTTGCCCAAGAGGGTCGGATTAACGGACAGGGGCAAACCACTTGGAGCACGATTCAGGTGGGTAGCCATGTTGGTCTGAAGCAGCACAGCAGAACAAAGTTTGAGTCTGGTGGCAGGTTTAAGACCAGCAAAGTTTTGCTCAACGTATAAGCACTTTGTCAGGCACAATTTCCACTTGGAGCATGTTAGTGCACCTGTGAAACAGCTGCCCTGTTTTCTGAGCCTTTTTGGTGGTAGCACCAAAGTCATGCAACATTAACGTGTCCTGTTCCCTGATGTCATTCAGGAAGTGGGTGAAAACTGGTTTGTTTCACCAGGCTTTTGTTAAACATATTTTTGGCTAGGAAAGTGTGGTATACTATTGTTTACTTATCCATTTGTTTAATAATGTATCAACCCACCTTACTTCAAAAAAACTGTAACTCAAGGCAATTGCCAAAATAAAAAATCAGTAAAAACAGCTTAAAGCAATAAATAACAGTGTCCTGGGAACAGCCTGCCAAATACAAAAATCAAGCAGTTCTACCCTCTGAATGGCAACTGCCCAATGAGACTCTAAATCTGCCCCTGCCCAGGTATTTCGGCTCCCAAAGTCCTCCCGAGTGACCATTTCTTGCCTCTCCCACGTGACCTTCCTCCCCTCATCTTGGGAGGCCTTTCCGCAAGACTGGGGGGGGGGGGCTGCTACTGAAAACGCCCCCGGACGGTCCATGGCAGATTATCCCAAAGTGTGGGGGGGGCGTCGAGAGACAGACAATGAGGGGAGGTGCTGAGCAGAGTTGGCCCCCGAGAGTCTGTGACACCCGTCTTAGCACAGAGTCGCCCCACAGGCTGCAGTGGCCTTAGACTGGAGGGCCTCCGTGTTGGTGGTCCTTCAGGTTTGCGGGTTCCAGGCTACAAAAGGCTTTACCATACCTTTGGGGGTGTGGGATTGCCCCCAGAAGGTACTTTTTCCCACCATAGAGAACGATGGAGGGGATAGGGGCAACCTGTTTTGGGGCTGGTAGAATTGGACCCCCTAGTCCAATGTTCTTCAAACTTTGTTGGTATCTTGGGGAGAGGCTCCAGCAGCTACCCTGCGAGTTTGGAGCCTCTCCCTCAAACCCTGTCCCCTACAGCCCCTAGAATATACCCTATGTTTTTGCCATTGACCTCAATGGCCCATAGGATATAATGGGGCCGAATTGCTGCCGAAATTCGGCAGCAATTCGGCGGCAAGCCAATTCAGATCAGAGAATCTGAATCAGCCTGCAGCAGTCCGAAAGGGGTCCCTATTCAGCAGCACAGATCAGTGTGGTGAGGTCAGCTGTCTACACGGCTGTTCTTTTCACTTGGCGGTTTTCTTGCAATTTGTCTGGGCGTCCTCATTTTCCATTATTGTCTTCTTCTGTTTTCCTTGTTATTCCTCTATGCTTGCTCAAAGTATCTTTGATGCAATCTGAGAAACGATGAAGAAACCATTGAAAGACAGCAAGTGGCAGACGCCCCCCCCCATGTGACAAGGCCGAGGGTGTGGTGGTTTTGTTGCTGGACTTTGGAAGCCTGTGAGGACCTGCTGGGGAAATGGTGGGGCGCGAGTCTTTCCAGTGAATAAACGCAGTCCCCCTTTGACATGGCCAGAAGCAGCTCCAGGTCTCTGAGTGGACGTAGGAGACAAGGTTCCTGCCCTGTGTTTTGGCCTCGAGCTCTTCAAGGCTGGTGGTGGGCTGGGGAGATGCTACCTGGATCTTACTCGCCCTGGCAACTTGCCGCTTCCTTTTGGTATGTTCACTTTTACCTTGGGGCTGGGCCCAGAGTGGCATATGCTGAAGATCAGCTCCGGTGCCCCTGCTGGATCCCACCTCTTGGCCCCTCTGTCCAGCCTGGGCTCTCCCCATGCTCCAGGCCAGCCTTTCCATGGCCCCACTGCATGGTCTGGAACCTGCCTGGGGGCTTCCGCTGGGCCTTGGGAGGCCACTGCTTTGTGACTCTTCAGCCCGAGGGCTGGAAGGGTGTTAATTTCTCTCTCTCTCTCCTTCCCTCCCCCTCTTCCCCTCCAGCGTCCTGGGATGCCATCCGGTGCTCGAATGCCCCATCAGGGGGCTCCCATGGGTCCCCCAGGCCCACCCTATGTGGGGAGCCCCTCCGTGCGCCCTGGGATCCCCCAGGCGGTGATGGAACCGGCACGCAAGCGGGCAGCCCCGCAGCAGGCGCAGCAGCAGGCGGCGCAGCAACAGGCGCAACAGCAGGCGCAGCAGCCCACCCAGGCCACACAGAGCCGGCCCAGAAGGTGAGCGTGTGGCAGGGAGGGAAGGAGGCAGGCAGGAGGCGGCAGTGTGGAGCTGTGGGGCAGGAGGGGGGTGGGGGTGGTGGCCACCCTTTGGGCTTGCAGGTCCTTGCCTGGTGTGTGTGTGTGTGTGTGTTTGTGGTTCTTTTTCGGGCCCCATGTTTGGCTTTCTTGGGACATCCCAACCTGTGCACGTCACCTCTGCATTTCGGCTGCAGTATCTAATCCGTGTTGCCCTCTTGGGAGGGGTGTTCTCATTCCTGCACAGTTCAGCAGCCCTTGATAACAGTGTTTCGTGTTTCAGGATTTCTGTCCTGAAAATTCTGTCCTCCAGCCCTGTGGGCTGGCTTTTCTCCCAAGCAGGGTCCCCGGGCAGCTCCCCAGCCTGCAGTGTTTGTATCTGCAAAGTGCAATCCAAGCGAGCAAAGCCAGGAGTCCACTCCCTGGTCCGGTCCCAGGTCCACCTGGCTGGCTGGCTTCAGGCCGCGGGCCCGGAGTCTGTGGTGTCCCAGGCGCTGGCCATGCCGAGGTCTCGATCCTTGCAGCGGGAGGGTGCTGGGAGATGAGCCCTGCTTCCCAACCCCTGGCAGAGGTGCTCCCCTCCCTCACCAGGAGTGCTGGCCTGGCATTGCTCCCTCCCCACAGATGCCCTCTGGCAGCACAGGAGATGCCCCTGGCACGGCCGTGCCAGGGGCTACATAAGGGCAGTGTGGCTCGGGGAAGAAGCGGTGGTGGTGGTGGTGGTGATGGTGGTGGTGGTGGTGGGTACTCCTTCCCTTCCCTTGCCGGGAAAGCATGCCCGTTGTCAGGAGTGGGGCTCAGGGAGCTCCAGAAGGGCCTGCCCCCTTGGCCGCAGGGCAGCTGTGCTTCTGCTCTGGCAGCGGAGACTCAGGGTGGGCACCCTGTTGAGAGGTGGGGGCCTCTGGGCGGCAGCCGGTGGCCTGTGGGCCTCAGGCAGGCCCAGTGGAGCCGAGGTTGGTCCCGGCGGCTCTCCCAGAAGAAGCAGGACCCTCCCCCTCTGCGTCCTGTGGGGCACCTGCGGCACGCACCCATGGCTGTGTCCCTGTCGGCGTGTGTCAGGTGGAGAGGGGGACAGACGGATGGGCAGATAGGCAGGCCGCTCGGCCGCTGTCTCAGGAGCACGGAGGGAAGCTGTCGGGCTGATCACCGCTGGCGTTTCGTCTCCAGAGAGCCCCTCCCTGGGCCCGGACAAAAGGGCCACGGAACATATTCGTGCGGAGCCGGCGGGGCCTGCGGTGGTGAGCGCCTCTGACTGGGAAGGGGGAGGCTGCGTTCAGATCCAGCCCCCGCCGTGAAGCTGGCTGGGTGGTCTTTGGCCAGCCACTCCCTGCCAGGGTTTCCAGGCCCAGGAAGGGAAGTTCTGGGAGTTTGGGAGGGGTCTCAGGAGAGCGGAGGCCCCCCCCCCAGGGCCTGACACCATCCATCTGCTCTCCAGAGCACGTCTTTTCTCCAGAGGGGAACTGACCTCTGTCCTCTGGAGCCCGGTGGTCATTCCAGTGGGTCGACCAGGCCCCACCGGGAGGTTGGCACCCCCTGCTCCCTCTTAGCCTCGTCGGCCTCACAGGAGTGCGGTGGGGGTACCGCGGAGGACGAGGCAGCCCCCTGCTGCCCTGAGGTGCTTGAAGGAAGGGCAGGATAAAGACACAAGCCCGTCCGTCCGTCCGTCGAGCCCCTGCTGAGAGCCCGCTGGCTTGAGGCCCAGCCTGCTGGGTGTGAGACCCTGGCCGGTGTGCTCTCCGGAGGGCCGTGCTGGCCAAGGGTTCCCGTCCTCCCAGGGCCAGGGGCTCTCCGGAGTGCCTGCTGCAGGGTGCCGGGGACGCCAGGCCCTCCTTTCCCCTGCCAGCCCGGCTCGCTCTGGCATTTGCAGGCCCCCTCCCAGGCCGCCCTGCAGAATGGCGGGCCAGCCCTGGGGAGAAGGAGGGAGGGAGGGGGGAGCGTGGTGGCGAGGCTGCCTCCCTCCAGGCCCACGGCCCACCGGTGGAAGCGTTTCTGTTTCGGGAGGCTTTTGCCGGCGGATAAATACGGCCTGCTCTGCCGGATCTGCTTGCTGAGGCTCGCTTAGATTGTCCTTCCAGATGCCTGTGAGGTAGTGCTTGTGGTGAACTGGGGCAGTGTGAGTGTCGCCCCGAACGCTCTTGGAGGGAGGGGACAGCCGAGGACCCCCCCGCGGCCAGCAGAGAAAGAGACGCTGGAGCAACCTGGGTGGCTCCTACGGGGCGGGCAGGCAGGCGCCTGATTGGGGCCGAGAGGGTGGAGCAGGCCCGGGCAGGGCTTCCCTTCTGCCCCCAGATGTCCTGGTTTCCCAGTGAGGAGCCAAGCCAGGCCGCCCGTGGAGTTCCTGGGGAAGGCTTTCCTTCACCTGCTCTGCCAGCTGGCCCGGCCCTCAGCCCGGCTGTCCTTGGTCACGACAAGAAATGCCCATGGCTCTGGGTCGGCCCAGAAGTCGCTGCCAGGATCTGGCCTGTGCCCCCAGATGGCAGCTGGGCTGTGTGCCGCGTCTGGAGCCGGAGGGCGGCCCGGGGGGAGGGGAGGGGGCCCCCACCCTCCCTGCAGATCCCTGCCGTGCTCTGGGTCCTGGTCCCTCTTGGGCCTCGACTGAGGGGCCCCTCGGCTTGGGGTGCGCGTGCACCAGCTCTCCCCCGAGGGTCTGGGTTCAAGGGCCCGCAGCTGTCTTTGGTGGTCCGTCTCTTGAGGCGAGGAGGGTCTGGCACGGCAGAGAGAGGCCGGGATCGCTGAGCAGCAGGCCGTCTTCCGCCTCCACCCTGTGGTCATAACCTGTGTTTTTTCCTTTAAAAACTATACAGTGCCAAGAGGAGGAAAATGGCTGACAAAATCCTCCCTCAGAGGGTGAGTGGCGCTCCATTTCTGTCTTTGTTGGGCTCTCCTCATCTGATCAGGCGGGCTCTGCTCCGAGCTTCGAACCGGCCTCTGAAACGTGGCTGCCGCCGCCGCCGCTATGGAAGAGGCCGTAGGGCCCCGGGGGGCGGGGGGGCGGTGAGCGGTGAGTACAGGGCAGGGGCGGGGAGGCAGTCTGGCCAGATTGGTCCCCCCCCCCTCTTTTGTGTCTAGCCGAGCACATGGGGGCACAGGTGGGCCGCGCATGTGCCCCCGTGCGCCCCCCCCCCCGGACACTCTTCCAGCCCACCTGCGCTGGCACCAAAGGGACCGAAAAGCAGCTCATTTGGGCAAAGCGGCCTCTGGTGCCCCCCTTCTGCCGCTCCGGCCTCCCTCGTGTTCCTGGGCCAGAGGGTGGCTGCGTTTCTGGGGCTCGGCCTGGCCTGGCCTGGCCTGGGCCACTCCTGGCTGCTGCTCAGTCCTCGGAGCCGGCAGCTGCCTCAGACCGGCCCCCTCCTCCTAACAGCTGCGCCTGCTCCTCCCTGGTGGGCGCGCGTCCCACAATCTCTCGCCCTCCCTCCCTCCCTCTTTCTCTGCGTTGTCGTCGTGTGACAGGCAGTTTTTTGTGGCGGTTGACATCAGCTGCTGTCCATCCTGCCTGTGGCAGCCTTGTTGGTGTCTGAAGGCTGCCCCCGCCGATCCCCCCCCCGCCCCGCCCTGTGCTGAGTTCTTAGCCCTGGCACCAGCCCTGCTCTGGGCGATGTGCTCTGGCACTTGGGGCCAATTGCCCCCAGCTGGGCAGAACGGTGCTCTTGACTTTTTCCTTTCTTTGGCTCCTGAAATTGCTAGGAGCTGAACAGCAAGTAAAAATGCCCCCCGCCAGCAGGCCTCCAGAGTGCGGGCCCAGCGTTCCAGTCAGGGTTGGGCCGGCCGAAGAGATGCCGCTTCGGGGCCCTCAGAAACCCAGAGGGAGAGTCCCCCAGAGGGAGTGGGGCAGCCACACCTTCACCTGTTGTCTCGTTCAACAGTTTTTATCTCTCTGAAAGACACCTGGAGCACCCAGTTTGGTTGAGAGGGCAGGACAGGAAGGTGTGAAATAAGGACAGGTAGAGAAATGGCCACGGGGGCCTGTGGGGCAAAGGCCCCAAGGAAGAGTGCAGGGAGAAGAGAGAGGGGGGCCATGGGTGAGTCTCCCCCTCCGGCTAGCCTGCCTGTCAGGGATGTTGTGTGGAGAAAATGGTAAATGTCACAGAGGTGGAGAAAAGCTGGGAATGAGCGCATGATGGGCTCTGGCTGCCCCCCCCCCACCATCAGAAGGGAGGGGTGCGACAGCCAAAAATGGTGCTTCCTGGGTGGTGGCCCCATGGCTGCAGATGGGATTGTTTTGTAGCTTTGATAGCCGCTGCTTTGAGTCTGCTGTGAAGAGGACGTGGCCGATGAATAAATATATGAAGTAGTGATGTACACAGAAGCAATGGATGGGCCATAGATGAGACAACCCCCCCCCCCCCCCGCTCTCAAGGGAGCGGGACGGACCCGGGGCCTGGCTTGGCAGAGGAGAGAGCTCCCTGGGTCTGCACGAAAGGACCTGGAGATCCTTGCAAAGGAGCAGAGTAGCCACAGCAGACCGAAGGAGTCGGGACACGTCACGCTGGTCAGCAGAACGAAGAGGGGAGCCCCCCGGGCGGCCCTCCCTTCCAGGGAACTGGGAGAGGGCCAGAGGTGCACATTCCCTCAGAGCCCAGCGGTTGTTCCCAGGCAGGTGGGTTGGGGGGGGGGGGGGGCACCCTGCCCCGGAAGCCCCCCCCCCCCCCCCTGGGGAGCTGCTCTCTGCCCCTCTGCACCAGCCTGGGAAACCGGCGGGTGGGGTGACCGAAGCACAGAATCACACGGAGTTGGGAGGGGCCACCCAGGCCACCTAGTCCGACACCCCCCTGCTCAATGCAGGGTCAGCCTAGAGCAGTGGTGGCGAACCTATGGCACGGGGGCCAGAGGTGGCACTCAGAGCCCTCTCTGTGGGCACGCGTGCCATCGCCCCAACCAGACCCAGACCATCATTAAAGTGTCGAATTCTCTGCCAAATAATTTTAAGTCAATGAAAGCGTTTGGGATTGCTTTCCTTACTATGTTTGGATCATCTTAAGTTAATGTATGAGTTGTTTTTTCTAAAGTAAAATCTCAGTATTCAGGTTGAATTGCCGTGTTGGCACCTTGCAATAAATAAGTGGGTTTTGGGTCGCAGTTTGGGCCCTCGGGTCTCTAAAAGGTTCGCCATCACTGGCCTAGAGCCTCCCTGACAAGAAGTGTTTGTCCAGCCACTGCTTAAAGACTGCCAGGCAGGGGGAGGCTCACCCCTTCCTGAGGCAGGTGGTCCCGCTGTGGCACAACTCTTACTTAGTCAAAAAGCTTTCCCTAATGTCCAGCTGGTACCTCCCCCCCCTTCATTTAAACCCATCACATTGCGAGTCCTCCTCTCCTCTGCTGCCCAGAGGAACAGCTCCCGGCCCTCCTCTTAAGGGGCAGCCTTTGAAATACTCCCAAGAGAGGCATATCGTGTGTGTCCCCCCCCCCAACCTCCTCTCCTCCAGACTGGCCATTCTCAAGGCCCTCAGCCTTTCCTCGTGAGAGACCCTTTCTCCCCAGTTGCTGGATGAAGCCCCCCCCCCCCCCCCGGTAACTGCTAATTAACTTTGGGAAATGCTGGGGTCCCTGGTCACGCACACACTGAGGCTGCCCACCCCCACCCCACCCCGTGGGGATTCTTCCCTGTGGAGGATGTTTGGATAGGGTGCACTGGGGGCGGGGGACTGAGTTCCCACACAGCGTCCTCGTGGGGCTCTGGGGGCTCTCTCAGTCCAGATGGGCCAGTGTGGGACGTGGAAGGGTCTTTCCCAGTTCTACAGTGGAAGCCTTTCTGAAGACCCTGAAGATGCCAGAGGTGGGGCCCTGTGGGGCTCTTTTGGGTCACCACTGGGCGCTCTGCCGCTGTGAGGGGCGGCCTTCCCCTCGTGGCCAGCGATGCTTTGCTTCCTTCCCAGATCCGGGAGCTGGTCCCTGAGTCCCAGGCCTACATGGACCTCCTGGCCTTTGAGCGCAAACTGGATCAGACCATCATGCGGAAGCGAGTGGACATCCAGGAGGCCCTGAAGAGACCCATGAAAGTAGGTGCTCCCCTGCCGGCGGCGGGGCCACGCGTGGGCGGCAGGATCCCCTTTGCTTGTCCCCAAGCGGTGCGTTTCTGTGGCGAGGCCTCTGCGTGTCCCTCCTCGCCCTGCAGGCCTTGGCCCCATCGGTGTGGTGTCTGGGGCTGGCCAGGGCAGACCTCTCCCTTGGTGGGAAGGGCTCATCTTAAGGGGCTTAATAGGTTTACCCGCAGGAAGAGAGCTGGGAGACCAACTGCGCAGACGGTTAGGTGTGTGCAGCGTAGATCGTCCTGTGGCAGCAATGTCCATACAGCAGATTCCGGTGCTCTTTGGGAGGGGGAAGTACAGCGGTGGGTCCAGGCTAGGGAGAAAAGGAAGGGTGCGGAGAACCATAAGAGCTCGGCATCCTTCCAGCCTGAGACCCATCCCGAAGGATGGTGGCAGCGGGGCTCAGATTAAGAACCCCCCTCCGACATTGGTGCTGTGCAATGCCAGGTCCATCAATAATAAGACCATGGTCCTACGGGACTTTATTATAGAACAACAGGTGGACCTGGCCTGCGTGACCGAGACCTGGGTGCGGAGCGGGGAGACCGTAGCTCTCTCCCAGCTTGCCCCGCCCGGGTTCTCGGTCCTACACCAATCAAGGAACAGGGGGCGGGGGGGAGGAGTGGCGATATTTGTGCGAGAGGTTTGCTCCTTCAGGGCGCTCCCAGCTGCGGAAATCGCGGGCATAGAATGTGTCGGCCTGGTGCTGGAGGCGGGGGAGAGTTTGGCGATCTGGCTGGTGTATCGACCATCTAACGCACCGGCCAGTAGCCTGCCGTCCCTACTGGAGGCTGTAGCAGGCTGGGCGTTGGAGCACCCTCGGCTTTTAGTCTTGGGTGACTTCAACGTCCATGCTGATGACGCGGCCTCGAGTCGGGCTACGGACCTGGTGGCATCCATAGCGTCGCTGGGACTCTCCCAACTAATATCGGGTCCCACGCATCAGGCCGGGCACACGCTCAATTTGGTCTTCGCGGCGGGGAGTATGGTGGACCGGATTACCACAATT